TTCGTTGTTAACTTGAATAGTTAGTATATTAGGTGTTCTACTTATTTTCAGAATTTCTGTTTTGGTGATGCTGATCTTCATGTTATATTCGTTGCAGACTGTGTGTAGCGCATTTAGGTGGATTTGAAGTTCTTTTTCGTTTTTATGTATTATGCTTTGGTCGTCTGCGAAAAGTATTTCGTTCAGTTGGGGATGTACTTCTTCAGAATCGGCGTGTATGTTTTCATTATAATGATCTCTTTCAACTAACTCTGTCTCATTGCTTGGTGTAGTTAACAGTTCGCTTATCATTACATGGTTTGCTGCTGTTGTTATTCTGTCCATGTATATATTGAATAGTAGTGGTGATAGTACACAGCCCTGTCTTACTCCTGTTCTTAGTATGAATTCGTCTGTCACACCAACATTCGTTCTAACTAGGCTTGAGCTTGTTTGGTACAGAGATCTGATGTTGTCTAGTAGCTGACCTTGTACTCCATAGTCGTTCAATATATTCCATAGTTTGTTCCTATCTACCCTATCAAAGGCTTTTTCTTGGTCAATGAATGCTATATTGAGTTGTTTGTTATATTCTATTGCCTTTTCACTAAGTTGTCTTAGGGTGAAAAGGGCGTCTGTGCAACTTTTTCCTTTTTTAATATTATTATTATCTAATATTATTATCAAAGCTAAAGTCAGGAATGCGTGACGAGTTGACAATTGCTCAGCTAAACTTCTAATCTAGACGAACTACAGTCTGTTTCTGACTTGACCAGCTGTGACGCATCATGACCTACTTTAGATCTAAAGTAGGTCATAGGCACATTACAGTCAACTAACGGACATGTCCTGACTGACACTCACTGATGCAGAAGTAACAAAATAAAAACGAAGTTTTTGTGACAACTGGTACACATGAAACAAAACAAGCAAGCTGCGGTTAAAGAGAGTGTATCTCATCATCATCATGTGCCATGTCAATAAGTGTAGGCTGTCATGTTTCACCAGCTCACATCAGCATCACTCACAGATCAAGTCAGTGTTCTCGTATCGTCCTATCCCTATAGCTAAGCCATCAAGGTATTTATCTCTTTGCCTTTCCATTGTTTTATTTTCACCAATCATGACAGTTGTTCTCCAGTTTCTTTACGTAACGTCCACCAACAACACAGATGACATGTCCACCAACAACACAGATGACATGTCCACCAACAACACTGATGACATGTCCACCAACAACACTGATGACATGTCCACCAACAACACAGATGACATGTCCACCAACAACACAGATGACATGTCCACCAACAACACAGACGACATGTCCACCAACAACACAGACGACATGTCCACCAACAACACAGACGACATGTCCACCAACACCACTGATGACATGTCCACCAACACCACTGATGACATGTCCACCAACAACACTGCTGACATGTCCACCAACAACACTGCTGACATGTCCACCAACACCACTGCTGACATGTCCACCAACACCACTGATGACATGTCCACCAACACCACTGATGACATGTCCACCAACACCACTGCTGACATGTCCACCAACACCACTGCTGACATGTCCACCAACACCACTGATGACATGTCCACCAACACCACTGATGACATGTCCACCAACACCACTGATGACATGTCCACCAACAACACAGACAACATGTCCACCAACAACACAGATGACATGTCCACCAACAACACAGATGACATGTCCACCAACAACACTGATGACATGTCCACCAACAACACAGACGACATGTCCACCAACAACACAGACGACATGTCCACCAACAACACAGACGACATGTCCACCAACAACACAGAGGACATGTCCACCAACACCACTGATGACATGTCCACCAACAAAACTGATGACATGTCCACCAACAACACTGCTGACATGTCCACCAACAACACTGATGACATGTCCACCAACACCACTGATGACATGTCCACCAACACCACTGATGACATGTCCACCAACACCACTGATGACATGTCCACCAACAACACTGATGACATGTCCACCAACAACACTGATGACATGTCCACCAACAACACTGATGACATGTCCACCAACAACACTGACGACATGTCCACCAACAACACTGATGACATGTCCACCAACACCACTGATGACATGTCCACCAACACCACTGATGACATGTCCACCAACAACACTGATGACATGTCCACCAACAACACTGATGACATGTCCACCAACAACACTGATGACATGTCCACCAACAACACTGATGACATGTCCACCAACAACACTGATGACATGTCCACCAACAACACTGACGACATGTCCACCAACAACACTGACGACATGTCCACCAACACCACTGATGACATGTCCACCAACACCACTGATGACATGTCCACCAACACCACTGATGACATGTCCACCAACAACACAGATGACATGTCTACCAACAACACAGATGACATGTCCACCAACACCACTGATGACATGTCCACCAACACCACTGATGACATGTCCACCAACACCACTGATGACATGTCCACCAACACCACAGATGACATGTCCACCAACACCACAGATGACATGTCCACCCACAACACAGATGACATGTCCACCCACAACACTGATGTCATGTCCACCCACAACACTGATGTCATGTCCACCCACAACACTGATGTCATGTCCACCAACAACACTGATGACATGTCCACCAACACCACAGATGACATGTCCACCAACACCACTGATGACATGTCCACCAACAACACTGATGACATGTCCACCAACACCACAGATGACATGTCCACCAACACCACAGATGACATGTCCACCAACACCACAGATGACATGTCCACCAACAACACAGATGACATGTCCACCAACAACACTGATGACATGTCCACCAACAACACAGACGACATGTCCACCAACAACACTGACGACATGTCCACCAACAACACTGACGACATGTCCACCAACAACACAGATGACATGTCCACCAACACCACTGATGACATGTCCACTAACACCACTGATGACATGTCCACCAACAACACTGATGACATGTCCACCAACAACACTGATGACATGTCCACCAACAACATGGATGCCATGTCCACCAAAAACACTGACGCCATGTCCACCAACAACACAGATGACATGTTCACCAACAACACGGATGTCATGTCCACCAACACCACTGACGACATGTCCACCAACAACACAGATGACATGTCCACCAACAACACTGACGACATGTCCACCAACAACACTGATGTCATGTCCACAACAACACAGATGACATGTCCACCAACAACACTGACGACATGTCCACCAACACCACTGACTTCTTTGGCTAATTTCTCCAAACATCATCACAATGCACTTGGCTTAAATGTGTCGGCGTTACAGTGTTCGGAATCAACTCTACTGATGATGTTCCTTAATGCAACTCCTGGGCACAACCCAGCATCTCGTCTCTCCATCTACTTCTTCCTCTTCTACAGCTGATCTTTCTAGCTACCACCATCTTCTGCAATGTCCCTTTTCTCAAGATAAACTAAAGATCTCTATTCTCCCTTTTATAGTTGTGTATAATGTTCTAAATGAATCAATCAAAGAATTGACATCAATGCATTCAAGACATTCCCATATGTGGTCTGTTCCTTCCTCAGCAGCCAAAGAAAAGTTCCCATACTAGTGATGCCAGTTACAACCTGATAAGTTCGGCAAATTATGTTTTTCCCTGTGGGTAGAAAATCGCTCAGACCCTCTGCCGACTCCAAGGTGAATCATTCTCTCAAGATATGGATGCTTCGTCTGTTCTGCTACACTGTTCGTTGACTCCAAGGTGAATAATTCTCTCCAGATATGGATGTTTTGTCTGTTCTGCTACACTTTTTACTGACTCCAAGGTGAATCATTCTCTCCAGATATGGATGTTTTGTCTGTTCTGCTACACTTTTTACTGACTCCAAAGTAAATCATTCTCTCCAGATAACATAACAATATATGGGTTTTCTAAACTCATAAAAACACTGATAACGATTTTGTTCTCAAGTTTATTCAAACAAACATAAATAAATAAATAAAAACATATATCCTGGAAATGAAACAGCACAAGCAGCCCAGAAAATACAAACTGCAAATGATTAGACTGAATATCAATGACAAGAGCATTTCTCAAGTTTACTGCTGCATAATTTTGCTGCTCTCTTTTTTCAACAGCAGCATTTTATTTCATTTCAAAGAAATCTCAAAGAAAAAGAAAAAGCTGTAATGTGAATGGTGAATTTATAATTAGCAATTTCAGGTTTTGGATGCTGAATAATAATCTTGCAGATTGAAAACTGATGATACATTTTGATTTTGCGTTGTTAGTTTTTCATGAGGGAAATTTATGAATTATGATTAGCGAATAAACTTACACATTTGATTAGTTAAGTCTGAATTAATGGCACAAGTCGGGTGACTGAAAGATTTTAGATAGAATACTGTGAGTGTCACAGTGTACAGAAGGGAGAGGTCTCTGATACAATGAGTCACATACAGAACCTATTTCTAGTATAAAATGTCACATACTGAATCTAGTCTCTGATATAAGATAATACTACATACAGGGCTTAGACTGAGGTAATGTCGCATACAGAGCCTAGTCTCTGAGGCAATGTCACATACAGAGCCTAGTCTCTGATGCAATGTTACATACAGAGCCTAGTCTCTGAGGCAATGTCACGTACAGAGCCTAGTCTCTGAGGCAATGTCACGTACAGAGCCTAGTCTCTGAGGCAATGTCACGTACAGAGCCTAGTCTCTGAGGCAATGTCACGTACAGAGCCTAGTCTCTGAGGCAATGTCACATACAGAGCCTAGTCTCTGACATCTTCCTTATTCAGACGACTTGCAAATCTGGTATTACACAACATCATATAGAAATCACAGTGGTGTAAGACATCATTAGACCTTGCCTCTGATATAAATAATTCCATAGACTAGCCTGTGGACGAAGACATCAGACAATGTCATCATCTGAATCTTGACTGGTCTCGGTATTCCTGACCAGCATGTAGTTGTCCATGTCGATGGAGCGACAGTGGTTGATGGCGTAGCGCAGTTTGCTGGCCATTGTTGCCTGGCTGCTGTAAGCGGGCAGCCGCAGCTGGAAAAAACAGGTTTGGGAGGTGGGTAGACTGTCCCGTCCCTGGGTGGAGGAGAAAAACAGGCCTTAAGACAACATCATCTCTAGAAAAACAGGCCTTAACAAACATCATCTCTAGAAAAACTGGCCTTAAGACAACATCATCTCTACAAAAACAGGCCTTAACACAACATCATCTGTACACAAAAAAAACCCACAGACCTTAACACAACATCATCTCTTCATCTAATATATATTTAATAAGGTGATAATATGGTTGTGTTTGCTTATGATGTTAGTGGTAAGTGTTGAATCTCCAAAAATGGCAGAATTCTGATGTTCTCACTGGGACAGCCCCGTGGTTGACAAGACTCAAAAGATGAATGTTGGATAATTTTCAGAATTTACAGGAATTGCTAGTAAGCAGTTAGCCATTAACTGTTCAAATACATATGCTCAGGATAAAAAGAGTAGAAAATTAAATCGGCGCAGTAACAAGACAACAGGCCAAGCAAGAACAAGATGGGTGGAGAGAGTAAAATAGAGACTACAGAAACATAAAATGACAGAACTAGCTAAGGAGGAAAATGACTCTTTTTGGGGACACTTAATGTAAGCAGTAGGGGTAAGGAAGAAGATGTTAGTAAAGGAAACAAGATGAGAAAGTCAACTAGGCAGTCTACCTCTTGTGTGCTGTGAAATATGAGAGCATTTAACCCTTCACTTCTCAACAGCAGAATCTGCCAAAGTGCTACATTAATTATATTAAAGAGGACCTTTGGTAGCATGCAAAGCTTGAATAATACTTGAAACAGAAAACAACTAACACAAGATGCCACCCTAAAACTAGTAAATTCAATGTGTCGGTTCTGGGGCCTCATTGTGGGAACAGACCCACTGCCTCCCCAACAATCATGTTGTGGGAGTAGACTTCTGAGTGGTCTTGAGGTAAAGTGTGCGCCTCAAGTGCTGGAGGTCCTAGGCTCAAGCCCCAGTGAAGGCTGGGATTTTTTACATAGGACTTGTAGTAATTTCCCCTGGTCTCTGGGTAGTAAGATCGGACGCCCATGTGTATTGTTGAGCAGGTTAAAAAATATGTTGGCAGTTGGAAATCAAAAATAGTAGTCTAATGGCGCCGCACAATCAAACTTTGGGGTTGAAAAATCTACCAAAAGTATTTCAGAATCCTCGCCGGTGCACTGAGCTGAGATTCTTCAGACTCAGGCTTGCGTTAGAAATATAACGGAGCACTTAAGGGTTGCACCTGAGTGCTATGATGTTAATCTGTTGAATAAACAATAAGGAGGAGACTAACTGTGGCCTTCCTTCAAAGTTACAGTGCATCTGCTGAACATCAGACCATAATCAGTATAAATTATCAACTGAAGAACATAGTTGACAAAATTTATCAATATCAAGCCAAATCTTGTACACACTATCAACATCAAGCCATATCTTGTACACACTATCAACATCAAGCCATATCTTGTACACACTATCAACATCAAGCCATATCTTGTACATACTTTCAACATCAAGCTATATCTTGTACATACTTTCAACATCAAGCTATATCTTGTACACACTATCAACATCAAGCTATATCTTGTACACACTATCAACATCAAGCCATATCTTGTACACACTATCAACATCAAGCCATATCTTGTACACACTATCAACATCAAGCCATATCTTGTACACACTATCAACATCAAGCCATATCTTGTACACACTATCAACATCAAGCCATATCTTGTACACAGTATCAACATCAAGCTATATCTTGTACACACTATCAACATCAAGCTATATCTTGTACACACTATCAACATCAAGCTATATCTTGTATACACTATCAACATCAAGCCATATCTTGTACACACTATCAACATAAAGGCATATCTTGTACACAGTATCAACATCAAGCCATATCTTGTACACACTATCAACATCAAGCCATATCTTGTACACAGTATCAACATCAAGCCATATCTTGTACACACTATCAACATCAAGCCATATCTTGTACACAGTATCAACATCAAGCCATATCTTGTACACACTATCAACATCAAGCCATATCTTGTACACTCTATCAACATCAAGCTATATCTTGTACACACTATCAACATCAAGCCATATCTTGTACACACTATCAACATCAAGCTATATCTTGTACACTCTATCAACATCAAGCCATATCTTGTACACTCTATCAACATCAAGCTGAATCTTGTACACACTATCAACATCAAGCCATAATTTGTTCAAATTATCAACAAGAGAACACAGTCAGATAAAATTATCAACGCCAAGCCATAATCTGCACAAATTATCAACTTCAGAACACAATCTGCACAAATTATCAACTTCAGAACACAATCTGCACAAATTATCAACTTCAGAACACAGTCTGCACAAATTATCAAGATTTTTCAATACAAGACTTACCCTATCAGAAGTCATAATCTGGAATCTTTGTGTAATGTCTGCTGGGTTGCTAGGCAACCTTGTTCTTCCAGAGATAAACCTCAGAAACTGGATGCGTTCCTCATTTGTGAATGACTCCAGCACAGCCCAGAACCAGCGTACCAAAATGTGGTTCTCATCAATACCTCGATACCTGGCACCAGACAAACAAGGTAGAGCCAATCTGGCACACATGTATGCACAAAAAACATTCTAATATGGACATAAAACTCATCACCATCATCTTCCATGTGTCCTTATGTGCCATACAGAGCTGCAATCTAGTTCTCCACTCTATTATATCCTGTGGAATCCTCTTGATATCGGAATTTGGTCCAGCACCTTCGACCTCACAGACCCTCCGACCTCTCAGCACCTCCGACCTTTCAGCACCTCTGATCTCTCAGCACCTCCGACCTCTCAGCACCTCTGACCTCTCAGCACCTCCGACCTCTCAGCATCTCTGACCTCTCTCAACAACATCCATCTTAAGGCTTCTCTTGGATGTCCTCATTGCCACAACTCATTTGTTTCCTATCTAAGTGCCTGTTTGGTGATTCTCTGTACGTTTCTCCTCGATGTCCTCGGTTTACTGCAATCTTCTTTGTCCATAAGTGATGAGATAAATTTGTGTCTAGACATGTCTCTTATTTGTTTCACCATTCTTGAATTCACCCCACTGAATGTTAATCATGACCTCAGACATCTGTTTACTTTTGTTCTATGTCTTTAGTGGTGGCCAAGTTTTACTGATATATGTTCAACTGAAATAACATTTGAATTAGAGATATATTTTTTTTAAAAATATCCAGAAACCATGAGTTGTTAACCCTTTGGCTCGGTACTATGGATATCGCAACCCTTCGGCCTTGATTCCATAGTAGGTACTGTAAATCTGGGAGAAAATGTGGCTTTTCTGCCTACCCCCAGGAGTGAACCCGGACCACAAGGAGCTCGTCACCCAGTCACCGCGCAGTCTGGTTTAGCAAACTACGCTAGAGAGCCGGGCGAATTAAAGATTTTTAATGTGGTTTTAAAACTATATAATTCCAATTTTTGTAGAGAGTTGGAATTAGAAGTTGCGAGGGAAAGTTAAGTCCAACGTGATGTGTATAAGGAGATACTCTGTACGTTACTCGGGCGCCAGTCCTTCACTGTTCTGGTTTTACGGAACCTCACGCAAGACCCCTGCAGCACGTCCTCGTCGTGTGCCACGGATAATGTCTCAAATGAGCATTAACAGAGCTGTCAGGGGATCTCGAAGTTTGGCGGCACCCAGAGGTGTAGTGTCCTTGTGGCTCTCATCAGCCCGCCCCCAAACGCATGGGTGAAAAAGCTTATCAAAACTCATTAGGAACATGAGTAAAGTGCTTGCCAAACGTACAACCAAAATTACAACCCTTGGTTAAAAGATTGCGGAGTGAAGAGAACATTGTTCTGCTGAGACTCGACCCTTGACCTAGAGATTTACCCGCAGCACAAATGAATAACATCTCCTATGGGTGGTGTCTCGCAGCAAGACTCTACCCATGTACATCCCCTGTTAACCCTCAGTGTCGTCGTCACCGCACTGAGGTACACCACGACAGCAACAGCCCACTGGCTGGCTAAGCCTAAATGTCCGACAAAACTAGATCCTACGATACACGAGTAAGCTCAAAATCCGACCATCACAAATCGTATTGAATGGGAAAAAGTCCAAATGTCCACACCCAAAGACCCCACTTGCCCGAGTGTTGGGACCAAACAGATAACGATATGCCTGACGCAGGACGTTAAATTCTGTCGTGCTAACAGCTCGTTAAAGATGTCTAACGTGCGAAGAAAAAGAATGTACATGTTCGTGTGATCACAAAAGTCCAGAACCCGCGGACTGCTTGCCGCTGATTTCCGGAGGGCGCAGCCCTTGTCGAGCGGGAGGCCTAATACGGTTGTGAGGTTAAGCAGGCATGTGCAGGACGTGACGATTCCTTGGGTGAGCCCAGAACCAGAGGGCCATGTGCAGGCTCTGCATAGATGGAAGCCTCCTTGGATGGCGGGGAATGCCCATGATCTGCCCCTGCCTTTTCTTGAGGGCTAACCGTTCCACAAGGGGCTGCCCCAAAGGGGTACTCCGGGGGCAACACCTGCGGAGAAGGCGACAAAGAGGACACCCCACAAATCAGGCAACGTCTTGACCCACACAAAACAATGGCCACAGTCATTCTAGAAATAGGCCTGATGTCTTCCCTCAAAGTCGGAGTGCATCTGTCCGCGAGGCAGGAAACAGCAAAACGGTTGTACACGCAAAACTCAGGTCAGGGTAAAAGCCAAAAGTCCAAGCGGACGATTAACCGGGACCTTCTGCCGGAATTCACAGCCGGTGAACGAAGAAGAAGAAGAAGAAAAGCTGTTGCCTTGTCAATGCAGACCATAATTTCTCATCCTTCCTAATAAGCTTGTCATAAAAAGTAACAAGAGTAATGGACCCTTTTCCATGCCTTTAGACACACTGGGCATATAGGGCTAGAACGATCATTTATAGACAAATCGGCACTCGGTGGGTGACGTGGTCAACATCCTGCCAGTCGCCTTTACATCCCAGCACCATGCCTGGTACCCACCCAAGGATGGGTCGATCTGAAAGCAATAGTTAATTTAAGCATGTTATAACATGCAACTACTTAGGGATTGATGAAATCATATGTGTAGGGCTGAAAGGTGCAGATATTGCAGCCTAGCTGTAAACCACAACACAATGTGTCAAGTGCCTTGTTAAGGGGGAACAGAGAGGAAGTTTACCTGACAACTTTCTGTAAAACTTCAACGTTGACCTCGTCAGTGCCACATACCAGCTGCTCTAGGGCAGGTGCTGTCAGTAATGTCAGCAGAGGCACAGGTATGATCCCAGACATGCCTTCTCTGATCAGTGACACCTGCAACAGAATCACAACAGTAAACATTACATTACAAGAATACAAGTTATGTAATATTACATTTGATGTCACTACACATTGGGCAATCCCATGTGGGCTCAGTCCTCAGATGTAGCAGCCACTCCAAGGTATCTCTATGAGAGGTTGGTTATAATGTCTCCTATCTCGGCCTCAAAGGCGGCATAGACGAGCTTCGCCATGCTTTACTCTCATGTCATGCAACTGTGTTAGTGTCAGAGATTCGATAGCACCAGCTATCTTCATGGTCATGCTTGATGTAGTTGCCTGGGAAGCACCACTGTCATTTTTTCACATTTTCCCCATCCTTTGTGCTGTGCAAGTTCCCATTTGAGGTGTAAATAAATGTTAGCACAGAACAATGATATCCCAGATCACTTTCAATATTCCCAAAGATAATTTTCACAATATGATTATCATCATTATTTTAAGGGGAGCCATGGTGGTGTAGCAGCTATACTCTCACCTGTGGATCTGAAGGTAATTGATTCAAATACTAATTGAGCCAGACTTTTTCCCTTAAAAATTGACCTTTGCCCCTCCCCCAGTGTACACAGCCTCAAACTAAAGTCCTTCTGAGTAAAGGCAGTCGGTGTGATGTTGACCACATCGTCCGCCGAGTCCCAATAGGTCCATAAAATATTGGTCTAGCCCTATATGCCCACTACATCTGAAGGCTTGGTCTTTTACTTAACTTATTTTATCATCATCATGTAGCAGGTCCTTTGCAGAACGTGGCTCTCATCACAGTCTGCCTGGAAGAAACTCGGTCTCTCGCCAGTTCTCCCGCCTCATGAACTTTCACACTCAAGGAGTCACCCATATCTTGAGTCCATCTTCGTGTTGGTTGACCCCTGTCCCTCCTTTCTGGTACCATGCCTTTGGCTATTTTTTTTTTCCCCAATCTGTTATGACGCTTGATATGACTAAAATATTTCAGCTTCTGAGACAAGATGTTATTTATTTGTCAATCTTCCTTGATGTTCAGATCTTTCAGAACGTCAGTATTTCTTCTCTTATTTGTCCCTATTTATTTTATAATGATTTCAAACCTACATTTCAAATATATTTAGCAACAATGTACACTGCCACAAACAATTACAATAATTACATAAACTTTGCAGTATTCAATAAGCAAAGCTAACTGACAAGCATCAATATCTATTATTGAAATATATTTTAAAACGAAAACCTCTAAATATGACATTATAACCCAGAGGGGTTGAACAGGCTGATGTTGTTTTAAATTACTACTACTACTACTATTATTACTTTTACTATTAACTACAAAAGTATTTGTGCAGATACACACATCACAGACACTTGACTGAAGTGAAGCTATATGTGCATATACATACATTTAACTCAAGTGAAGCTATATGTGCATATACATACATTTAACTCAAGTGAAGCTATATGTGCATATACATACATTTAACTCAAGTGAAGCTATATGTGCATATACATACATTTAACTCAAGTGAAGCTATATGTGCATATACATACATTTAACTCAAGTGAAGCTATATGTGCATATACATACATTTAACTCAAGTGAAGCTATATGTACAAATACACACACCACAGAATTCCACTCAAGTGAAGCTATATGTGCAAATACACACATTTCAAGCAAGTGAAGCTATATGTGCAAATACACACATTTCACTCAAGTAAAGCTATATGTACAAATACACACATTTCAAGCAAGTGAAGCTATATGTGCAAATACACACATTTCAAGCAAGTGAAGCTATATGTGCAAATACACACATTTCAAGCAAGTGAAGCTATATGTGCACACACACATTTCACTCAAGTAAAGCTATATGTGCAAATACACACATTTCAAGCAAGTGAAGCTATATGTGCACACACACATTTCACTCAAGTGAAGCTATATGTACAAATACACACACCACAGAATTCCACTCAAGTGAAGTTATATGTGCACATACATCACAAACACTCCAATCAAATGAGGCCATATATGCACATATACACATCACAACATACACACATCACAGACACCCCAGGAAAGTGATTTTCTATGTATTCAGAGTGCGCCGGGTTACCTGCTTGTCCCATTCATGTAGCCTGTACTGTAAAACACAGTCAACATATTCATTACGGTTGTGGAAGTGGACAGGTAAACTTTGACCTCCAGGTACTACAGGTACCATGTGACCGCTGGAACTCTGACCCTCAAATGTGTCGATAGGAATGAACTGAAACAGAGAAACATATACAAGTCATCAACAGAGAACCATTTGTGTATGTTGTCAAAACACAGATCTTCATTAACATACAGGACATCAACGCTGAGATAATCATCGAACAGAGATTACCATTTACATACATGTCATCAACATAAGTTAGCTCTGTGGCTAAGTCGATGCGAATGCGCTTCGTAATGCCGGGTTCGATCCCAGTTGTGGGCCATGCACCTTGCGTTGGTTTCGACAGTGGTATCAAGAAAGCAGACCGTCCAGAAAGCAATGGCAAACTACTGAAGGTAAATTTGCCTAGAAGAACCACACAACAGCCAGGGGCTGTTGGGGTTGGTTCTGCAACGTCCTGTAAAGGATGCGCAACTAAGCATCAACATAAAGATCACCATTTAAATACATGTCATCGACACAGAGATTACCATATACCTACATTTCATCAACACGAACTACAGGAATGCGGCTAATAATTATGCATCACAGTGTATGCTTAATACACAACACACTGTCTCTACAAATATAATATTGCCCAGGCATCTATTGAGAGGAGGAACTGAATCCCTGACCTTCAGTGGTCATGGAACTATGTTTCTCAACACTGCCTCAGTCACATCTCTGACTTTCAGTGGTCATGAAACTATGTTTCTCAACACTGCCTCAGTCACATCTCTGACTTTCAGTGGTCATGAAACTATGTTTCTCAACACTGCCTCAGTCACATCTCTGACTTTCAGTGGTCATGGAACTATGTTTCTCAACATTGCCTCAGTCACATCGCTGACCTTCAGTGGTCATGGAACTATGTTTCTCAACACTGCCTCAGTCACATCCCTGGCCTTCAGTGGTCATGGAACTATGTTTCTCAACACTGCCTCAGTCACATCTCTGACTTTCAGTGGTCATGGAACTATGTTTCTCAACACTGCCTCAGTCACATCCCTGGCCTTCAGTGGTCATGGAACTATGTTTCTCAACACTGCCTCAGTCACATCCCTGGCCTTCGGTGGTCATGGAACTACGTTTCTCAACATTGCCTCAGTCACATCTGTGACCTTCAGTGGTCATGGAACTATGTTTCTCAACACTGCCTCAGTCACATCTCTGAGCTTCAGTGGTCATGGAACTATGTTTCTCAACATTGCCTCAGTCACATATGTGACCTTCAGTGGTCATGGAACTACATTTCTCAACACTGCCATAGTCACATCCCTGACCTTCAGTGGTCATGGAACTATGTTTCTCAACATTGCCTCAGTCACATCTGTGACCTTCAGTGGTCATGGAACTATGTTTCTCAACACTGCCTTAGTCGCATCTCTGACCTTCAGTGGTCATGGAACTACGTTTCTCAACATTGCCTCAGTCACATCTCTGACCTTCAGTGGTCATGGAACTACGTTTCTCAACATTGCCTCAGTCACATCTCTGACCTTCAGTGGTCATGGAACTATGTTTCTCAACACTGCCTTAGTCGCATCTGTGACCTTCAGTGGTCATGGAACTACGTTTCTCAACATTGCCTCAGTCACATCTCTGACCTTCAGTGGTCATGGAACTACGTTTCTCAACATGCCTCAGTCACATCTCTGACCTTCAGTGGTCATGGAACTATATATCTCAACATTGCCTCAGTCACATCTGTGACCTTCAGTGGTCATGGAACTATATTTTTCAACATTGCCTCAGTCACATCTCTGACCTTCAATGGTCATGGAACTACATTTCTCAACATTGCCTCAGTCACATCTCTGACCTTCAATGGTCATGGAACTACATTTCTCAACACTGCCTCAGTCACATCTCTGACCTTCAATGGTCATGGAACTACATTTCTCAACATTGCCTCAGTCACATCTGTGACCTTCAATGGTGATGGAACTACATTTCTCAACACTGCCTTAGTCACATCTCTGACCTTCAGTGGTCATGGAACTACGTTTCTCAACATTGCCTCAGTCACATCATTGACCTTCAGTGGTCATGGAACTACATTTCTCAACATTGCCTTAGTCACATCTGTGACCTTCAGTGGTCATTGAACTACATTTCTCAACACTCCTCACATTCCTCTCCTTCAGTGGTCATGGAACTATGTTTCTCAACACTGCCTTAGTCGCATCTTTGACCTTCAGTGGTCATGGAACTACGTTTCTCAACATTGCCTTAGTCGCATCTTTGACCTTCAGTGGTCATGGAACTACGTTTCTCAACACTGCCTTAGTCACATCCCTGACCTTCAGTGGTCATGGAACTACGTTTCTCAACATTGCCTTAGTCACATCTCTGACCTTCAGTGGTCATGGAACTACGTCTCTCAACATTGCCTCAGTCACATCTGTGACCTTCAGTGATCATGGAACTACATTTCTCAACATTGCCTCAGTCACATCTCTGACCTTCAGTGGTCATGGAACTATGTTTCTCAACATTGCCTTAGTCACATCTCTGACCTTCAGTGGTCATGGAACTACATTTCTCAACATTGTCTCAGTCACATCTGTGACCTTAAATGGTAATGGAACTATGTTTCTCAACACTGCCTCAGTCACATCTCTTGTCTTCAGTGGTCATGGAACTACGTTTCTCAACATTGCCTCAGTCACATCTCTGAGCTTCAGTGGTTATGGAACTACGTTTCTCAACATTGCCTCAGTCACATCTCTGAGCTTCAGTGGTCATGGAACTACGTTTCTCAACATTTCCTCAGTCACATCTCTTGTCTTCAGTGGTCACGGAATTACGTTTCTCAACATTGCCTCAGTCACATCTCTGAGCTTCAGTGGTCATGGAACTACATTTCTCAACATTGCCTCAGTCACATCCCTGGCCTTCAGTGGTCATGGAACTACGTTTCTCAACATTGCCTCAGTCACATCCCTGACCTTCAGTGGTCATGGAACTACGTCTCTCAACATTGCCTCAGTCACATCTGTGACCTTCGCTGGTCATGGAACTACGTTTCTCAACACTGCCTCAGTCACATCTGTGGCCTTCAGTGGTCATGGAACTATGTTTCTCAACACTGCCTCAGTCACATCTGTGGCCTTCAGTGGTCATGGAACTACGTTTCTCAACACTGCCTCAGTCACATCGCTGACCTTCAGTGGTCATGGAACTATGTGTCTCAACACTGCCTCAGTCACATCCCTGACATTCAGTGGTCATGGAACTACGTTTCTCAACATTGCCTCAGTCACATTCCTGACCTTCGGTGGTCATGGAACTACGTTTCTCAACATTGCCCTAGTCACATCTCTGACCTTCAGTGGTCATGGAACTACATTTCTCAACACTGCCTTAGTCACATTCCTGACCTTCAGTGGTCATGGAACTATGTTTCTCAACATTGCCTTAGTCACATCGCTGACCTTCAGTGGTCATGGAACTACGTTTCTCAACATTGCCTCAGTCACATCTGTGACCTTCAATGGTCATGGAACTACGTTTCTCAACACTGCCTCAGTCACATTCACCATCATCTTGGGCTGTGACTCCCATGCTTCCTTACAGCACAATATAACACTTGTGTATGGGAAGAAGGAACGGTGCCAACAACTAAGTATGTTTTATAACAGGTGTTGACATGTTGCCACTTTGTGAGTCGAACACTGACAAGTTTTTCACTGGGGTTACTGTTCTCATTCAGTGTAGGCTGTCAATAACTATCAAATATAGGAACAGAAAAAGGGGATGTGAAATAAATAAAATAAAACAAAAAAAAAGGAGCAAATAAGTCATAGTGACAATATATGAGGGGAAGTCAATAAGTGTCCATATATGGTTGTTTAAAAAAAGCTAAAGAGGATAACAACTTAAGAGCAATTAAATTTTTTTCACATACGCTGCCATTTTATTTTTTAACATAATTTACACCAATACTGATGCACATGTCCCATCGTTTTATCTGTCCTCCCAAACCTATTGCATAAAACTGTGGGCTCTGTTTTATAAACCACGTTTTCACTTCCCATTAAACTTTTACATCATTTGCAAAATATCTCCTGCCAAGGTAAGTTTTCAGTGGTCCAAAAAAGTGGAAATCGCTAGACGCTAAGTCGGGGCTAAAAGGTGATTGTTCCAAAAGTTCCAGCCCTGGATGGTTAACTTTCTCCTGAGTTAACCGAGCGTATGTGGTCAGCCATTGTCATGAAGAAGCAGTAATCCTCTAGTCAGCAGGCGTGGACATTTTCTTCAAACTGCATCATGAAGCATCAATAGAACTTTACAGTGTGAATCAGCTTCCACACTGTCACACCCTTTTAAAAAAAAAAACGCAATCTACGTATCGACAGAGATGCTGCAAAGACAGGCCTAATCAGTTCATTTTGTGTTTGTCGGTCAACTGTCTGGGCACCCACCTTGAGCACACCTTAAATTTCAATCGATCATGCATTATGTTGTATGCTGAACCATGTGAGCACCCTATTTCAGCTGCTACAGAGTCAACCATTACTCGCCTGACACGTATAATCATCTCCTCCACCTGCTACATGGTTGCGTCTGTTGTAATCTCAACAGGACAACCAGATTAGACTTTATTAACAATTTTAGAGCGTCCTTGAGAAAATTCTGTTTACCCAGCTAGGCACCTTTGTAAAACTTCATCTCATCACGAAACAGATATCTAACTCTCGATTTCGGATGAATTTAACGGACAACGAACTTGGAACGTTAAAAAGACTTTTGAGATTTGTGAAACACTTGGTGTCACCAACTGGAAAGAGAAGGCCAACCAGAGAGATGAATGGAGGCGAGTGATGTCTGCAGCAATTCTTCTTCTTCTTTCGTTCGCCTGAAATAAGTTATCTATATCAGCAGTTTTGTCTCTTGTATAAATTTAACTGTCTTTGTTAGTTCATTCAGTGGTCCATAGAGTTTACGTTCCACTGTTGTTCTTTCTGGCCAAAAGGTTTGCCTTAATGTGTCAAAATTGGTGCAGTTCTGGAGTACATGCTCTGCGGTCTGGGGCACATTTCCACAGGTGCACATGGCTGATACATCTGCAGCAATGAACCTTAAGGGCTCAGAATGCTGAAGAAGAAGAAAAAGAAGAAGATGCACCGCTTTGTGGGATAAAAATCTCTCAGTATAGACAAGAAGCATTTCCTTATGAATTTTCTTTACAGGCAGCAATGCAGAACAACATGCTGTTTTTTTTAGGGTAAACTCTGTAAGTGCAGTATACATTTTGTTTCTGTGTTGCAAATGTGCATGCAACACCTTTAGAAATGGCCAACTACATTTTCCTGCCATCCCATAACCTTTTGTGACTGACTTATTGACTTTCCCTTGCATATCAGTAGTAGGGATACAAATATTCATGATTCATTAAAAGACGAAAAAATTAAAATATAAATTAAATAAAAATAGTAACATTGTTTAGATAAGAGAAAGCTGAAAACTGATTAAAAAAAAAGTTAGTTAAAAATAGTTAGTTGCTGAAGACTGATACTCTACAAGGAATGCAGAGACTGCTGAATGCTGGAGCCCAGACAAGTGTGAGTAAGTGTAAGAACAGAGAACGAGAGACAACATGAGACAACTGACCTCATGGAAGTTGGTCTCATTGATTCCACTCTCATGGAGGTCTCTGATTCCTCTCAAGCTCTGGATGTAGATATGGTCAACCTGAAGTCAACAAATACCATTAGTGATCTCTTGCTGGCACATTCCTGTCTTGTTATATAATGTGACCTGGTTTGTAATAAACATGCTGTAATATTCTGTCTGATCTTCTGCCTTTCCCAGTGGAGGACAGACAATGAAATCTATTCCCACCAAGCCCTTTGTTTGTGCTTAGATGAATTTTGTAGTTAAAGTTTATTACAAGATGGGGTAGTCAGATTTTATGCCATTCCTCCGTAGTCATCAAATAACACACATGGTACATTATGATAGTACAAGTCTTTCTCTTCTTGGTCCCAGTGAGGCACAGGTAAATATTTTGTTGACTTACATGAATAATCAGTGGCCACTGAAATAGTACAAGTCTTTCTCTTCTTGGTCCCAGTGAGGCACAGGTAAATATTTTGTTGACTTACATGAATAATCAGTGGCCACTGAAATAGTACAAGTCTTTCTCTTCTTGGTCCCAGTGAGGCACAGGTAAATATTTTGTTGACTTACATGAATAATCAGTGGCCACTGAAATAGTACAAGTCTTTCTCTTCTTGGTCCCAGTGAGGCACAGGTAAATATTTTGTTGACTTACATGAATAATCAGTGGCCACTGAAATAGTACAAGTCTTTCTCTTCTTGGTCCCAGTGAGGCACAGGTAAATATTTTGTTGACTTACATGAATAATCAGTGGCCACTGAAATAGTACAAGTCTTTCTCTTCTTGGTCCCAGTGAGGCACAGGTAAATATTTTGTTGACTTACATGAATAATCAGTGGCCACTGAAATAGTACAAGAAACAGCAGGCATTGTTGGACTTTTACTAAAACCATGACAGAAACAGGAACTAGCACCCAACATATGAAGTAAACATTAAAATTAGAAATATGAAATAGAAACAACACATAGACAAACAATGGAGAAATATCAAGTAGAAAACAGAAGACACACTAGAAAATAGAAAAAAAAAAAAAGTATAACAGAATTTCAATGTGCTGCCTTCAGATGATGATAGTGCCTTACTGAAGGAACAGCTGTACTCATATTTTCCCAGCTAAAGATCCTTAAAACAGGCGTCACCCTTACTCAAATCACTCACCATCTGTACCTTAAAGTAAAGTCTGTATGCCCCCCTCCCTCTCTCCCCAATGCTATTTTTAGTAAATATATTCATATTGATGACACTCAGCACCACACTAAAAAAAAAAAAAAAAACAGAAAACGAGGCAATGCTTTTTATTCTTGGATGCACTAGAGACACCTCCTGTAAATCCATGCGATACCTCTTGGATTTCCCTACATTGAAAAATAGAATCAAACTATCCAGGGCTGTTGCTTTCCTCAATGTGAAGTCAGACCATCGACACCCACTTCATGAGGAATTATTCAAGTAAAAAAAAAAGAATAGACTTAAACGAGGCAAATCCTGGATGGGTCGCCCTGAGGACACCATCGAACATGTTTGCTGCCTTACTGACAATTTTGGAACTGAATGGATGGATTCCCATGCTGACTGCTCCAAACATTAACATTACAGTCCACATCACATTTGACAGAAGCTGCAGAAAGCAGATTGCTTTCAGGGTGGACACTAGTCAGAACACTGACTGACAAAAACCCATACAAGGTCCCACAATTAAGTAATGAGACTGATTTTATAATGGCCAAAATTTGCCATCTACGAAGCAAAGCATGGAATCTAAAGAAGCAACATTCATCTATGATCTGGATACTTTTCATTGCTGCTCGATAAGCTGACAACAAATAAGCTGCCATTTTGATGACCTAGTCAGAGGTGCACTGTTAGGTAATCAGCACGGAGCAAAAAGCTAACATTAAATTCTTTTTAAAATTCAGAAAAAGCGCCATTGAAAAGTTGATGCAACAAGCTTATGAGGATAATTGTTTATCTCATGCACAAATGTTTAGGTGGTATTCACAATTCAAAAGTGGTGTGGAAAAGATTACTAGTGCACCTGGATGTCAAATTTCTGTTTGTAAAGATTAACAGGTTGCAAAAGTCACAGAACGGATACAAGAAGATCATTGTTTTACTGCGAGGATGATGGCAGATGAATCTGGCGTTAATAGAGAGACCATTCATAATATTTAAGTGCAAGATTTTAGCAAGAAAAAAGTTGCTTGCCGGTTTGTACCACATTCGTTGTCTGTTGACCAAAAACATCAGCGGGCGGTGTACCCAAGAGACATCCTCTAAACAATAATTTTTAGCCCCAAAACAAGTGTGTTCTCAGTCTTCCACCTTATTCCCTAGATTTGTCTTCCTATGATTATTTTCTATTCCCAAAATTAGAGTTACGATTGAAAGGACACTTCTTTAACGATACTGATGACATCCAATGGGCCGTAATATCGACTTTAAGGGCCATAACAACAGAAGAACTACAGAGGTCGTTCCAATCTTTGTTAGATCATGCCACTTGCTGTATCAATGCACAAGGGGGTCACTTCAAATCAGATACAGGTTAGATCTTAAACTGTTATTTTAATTGTTGTCTCATTACTTAATTGTTGGACTTGTATAAAGGTGATGCTATAGTTTACACAGATGGATCAGTAATTCAGGACAAGCGAAGTGCATAGGCCTTCACAGTAAGCTCAAGGAAGAAAACTATCACAGAGATGAATGGCGCCTTCGCTGTTACAACTAGCAGCCTTACAATGGAAACTATGGCTGTAACAAGAGCATTATCATGGGTTGGTACTCAACAGTTTACACACGTATGCATACTAAGGGACTCGATGAATATGCTTACATAAATCCAAGCTGGTTTTATCAGGCAAGAATAGATTGCAACATTGAGCACTTCGCAAATGGCTACCCTAACCTTTAACTTTGTGCCAGTTCATGCTGGTGTTCAAGGGAACGAAAGTGCAGATTATCTTGCCATGCACAGCCTTTACTGTGATGAGCACACCAAAGGGCATGACTCCGTACCCCTGTCTAGGCTGATGGACATGGGGGTGTAGCTTGGAGCTGCAAGCAATTAACATTTCCCTAAGGGAACAAGACGTTTCATTAACCAACACAGAACAGGAGTCATCAATGTTTTTGTGGAGCTTTTGAGGAGGAGATCGGAGCACCTATGGATCTGTCCAGACTGCTGTGATGATAATCCTTACTTATCACTATTATTCATACCCTGTTAATGATGTTTACTATTACTTTTTATCAGATGTATGAATGAAATGATGTGTGAAAGGAGAGAGATTAGAAGGGGACACAAATGTGTGCCCAATATTAAACCCTGTGAAAAAAAAAGATTGTTTGTTTGTTTGTTTGTTTGTTCGTTTGTTTCTCAGATAGATCATGGCTTGTGAACCACATATGACACTCATCCTAATGGGAATAGCTTTTAATCTGCAGCCAATGTGTCACTCTGTAAAGCTATGAATTCATATTTTATGTTCATTTAAAAAGAAAACATATATATATAAAGCAATTAATCAAAGCAAACGATTAAATTGCAGTTTTCCCTCACTTTTTGCAAGTGCTAAGAACTCAGGCCTACACACTAAGAGAACAACAAAAACTAGACAGACATACAGGATTGTGTTAGATACCTTATCCACAATCTACACACTAAGAGAACAACAAGAACTATAAAGAACACACAGGACTGTGCTGGGTACCTCCTCCACAATCTACACACTAAGAGAACAACAAAAACTAGAAAGAACACACAGGACTGTGTTGGGTACCTTCTTCACATTCTACACACTAAGAGAACAACAAGAACTAGACAGAACACACAGGATTGTGTTGGATACCTCTTCCACAATCTACACACCAAGAGAACAACAAGAACTAGAAAGAACCCACAGGACTGTGTTGGATACCTCTTCCACAATCTTCACAAAGAGAGAACAAGAAGAACTAGATAGAACACACAGGACTGTGTTGGGTACCTCTTCCACAATCTACACACCAAAAGAACAAGAAGAACTAGAAAGAACACACAGGACTGTGTTGGGTACCTTCTCCACAATCTACACACTAAGAGAACAACAAGAACTAGGCAGAACACACAGGACTGTGGTGGGTACCTCCTCCAAATCATCAACTTTGAGGGGCATGCCAGCTATGAGTTTCCATATACAAGGCGCCAGATGTAAGTCCAAAGGCTTTCTGGTGCGAATAGCCACACCAAACAGAATGCCCAGGAACTTAAACTGTACCACATTGTCATCAGCTGACAGCGCAGGATTCAGAAGATATCTGCAACAAAATTGTTCACACTTAACTAACATCACTAGTATCTAGTCTCTGTAATGATGTAATATTTCCTTCAACTGGATACAACAGTCAGACTAATTTTCTTTCACTTAGCATCTAGTCTCTATAATGATGTATGGTTTCTTTAAATGGATTTATCAACCGTTAGACTTCAAAGATCTCACTTCATATAGCATGTAGTCTCTATAGTGATGTATGGTTTCTTTAAATGGATTTATCAACCGTTAGACTTCAAAGATCTCACTTCATATAGCATCTAGTCTCTATAGTGATGTATCGTTTCCTTTAAATAAATATAATCACACAATCAGACTTGAAAGATTTCACTTCACTTAATATGCAGCCCAGTAGTCCGTTGTCCCTCTGGAAATGATGTCTAACAGATGCAAAGTCATTTTAGCATCAAACACAACCTATTCTGGAAAAGTGAGCAGATCGGCACTATCCACCTGTTTCCTAACACTCTTATACAAGCTATACATTTGTCACAATTACGTATAAAATTATGATAACAACAAATTCCTCATCATATAGCAAGTTTTTAGCCCTATGTTGGGGAGAAGTACCTTATTTTGTTGTGATTGTAATGGGCTCACAGAGCATGTTTAGGAAAACCGAAATTGGTGTGGTAAAAATAGAGTGATTTTAATCACTAGATAATACTTTAAGAGCAAGTCATGGCTTTGTTTGCCCAGGATATTTAGCTGTGCAGGGTAAGGAGCCGGCTGATAGACTGGCTGCTGCTGATCCTTTAGGAATCAAGCTAATTCCTGACAAGGAAGACATGATTGATGGCTCACCAGAATCCAGTGAGAGCAGCAGAAACAGATTTTATGTCTATACCTGGAGATACTGTTTCAGCTGGCAGTAAGCAGAATCTGGATGACATTCAATGTGCAGGAAACAAGACAGGCATACTTTTAATCAGATTACAACATTCACCACTAATACGGGAACTCTTCAGTGAGAAAGGGGACGGAGTATGTGAAGTAACATCCAGGGTGTGTTTGATATTACTGACTGATTCATTCATACAGACATTAACATACAGTCACACAGATCTACATGTCACACAGATCTAGATGTCACGTCACACAGACCTACATGTCACGTCACACAGACCTACATGCCACACAGATCTATATGTCACGTCACACAAAACTACATGTCACGTCACACAGATATACCTGTCAGATCCAGAGATCTGTCTGTCAAACACAAAGATCTACATCTCACACAGATCTACCTATCAGATCCAGAGATCTGTCTGTCAAACACACAGATCTACATCTCACACAGACCTACCTATCAGAACCAGAGATCTGTCTGTCAAACACACAGATCTACATCTCACACAGACCTACCTATCAGATCCAGAGATCTGTCTGTCAAATACAAAGATCTACATCTCACACAGACCTACCTATTAGATCCAGAGATCTGCCTGACAAACACACAGATCTACATCTCACACAGACCTACCTGTCACGGTTATTGCCGGACTCATTCTTGGCGTTTGGTGTGGGGATCAGAAGTGGCACAGTTCCAGATTCTAGTTCCTGCACCGAAAAGTCAGGGTTATCATTTATGATGTTACAGCAAAGATAAAACAATCGGTTATCATTGGTAACATGTTACAGCAAAGATAAAACAATTGGTTATCATTGGTAACATGATACAGCAAAATAAAACAATCGGTTATCATTGGTAACATGTTACAGTAAAGATAAAACAGTTTTCAGTGGTAACATGTTACAGCACAGATAAAACAATCATTTATCATCTCTAACATGTTACAGCAAAGATAAAACAATCAGTTATCAGTGGTAACATGTTACAGCAAAGATAAAACAATCAGTTATCAGTGGTAACATGTTACAGCAAAGATAAAACAATCAGTTATCAGTGGTAACATGTTACAGCAAAGATAAAACAATGTTATCATTGGTAACATGATACAGCAAAGATAAAACAATCAGTTATCATCAGTAAGACGTTATGAGATAAAGCAAGTGGTTATTTTTGGTAAGATGTTGAAGCAGATAAAAAAACACAACTGGTTATGATTTGTAATATGTTATAGCACTCACAAAACAACAGATTAAATGTATACACAGTTTAACTATAATCAAGACTAACTTTGAAAAATCTCTTATTAACCCCCCCCCCCCCCCCCCCCCCCCCCCCAAAAAAAAAGAACTAATAAAATTAAGCTAACACAGTCATCATTAAAAGTTCAACTAAAATATCAAAACTTAATGCTTAACTCTGATGACAGTTCATGCTCTGGTTGGCGAGTAGAAATCTTCAGACTTTAGCTGAACCACCTGCTGAACTCTCTCTCTCTCTCTCTCTCTCTCTCTCTCTCTCTCTCTCTCTCTCTCTCTCTCTCTCTCTCTCTCTCTCTCTCTCTCTCTCTCTCTCTCTCTCTCTCTCTCTCACAAAATGTCATCTAACAAGCAAGCTCATAACTCACCATACACATTTCTGTAATGGTGTCATCGAAGACGCCCCCAGCATCATCAGCACCTTCTCCAATAAGCTTGACCTTCCATGCCCGGGCTGGCAGACGGAGATCTTCAGACTTCAGTTTAACCACCTGCTGAGCAATCTGCGTGAAGACTGGACGACACTTCTTACCCCTGGAGAAACCAATGGAAGAGAAGTTCTAATGAATTCTTACCCCTGCAGAAACCAATGGAAGAGAAGTTCTAATGAATTCTTATCCCTGGAGAAACCAATGGAAGAGAAGTTCTAATGAATTCTTATCCCTGGAGAAAAAAATCGAAGAGAAGTTCTAATGAATTCTTATCCCTGGAGAAACCAATGGAAGAGAAGTTCTAATGAATTCTTATCCCTGGAGAAACCAATGGAAGAGAAGTTTTAATCAATTCTTACCCCTGCAGAAACCAATGGAAGAGAAGTTCTAATGAATTCTTATCTAAAAGCAGTCCTTCAGGGAACAAGAGAATGGGTCAAGCCCAGAGTTGCACCGACTGCAAACAAGGACCATGTCACTGCTGTGTATTAAACTTGGAAAGTTCCTCGTGTGGATTCTGGGGTCACATTTTGGGGGAGGGGGGCACCGCTGGCTTCCTTAACTGTTTTGTCTGAAGAGCCAGCTGTAAATGCCCATGCACTCTTATGTCCTCGTATAACGGACCTGTCTGTGAAGATTATTACCACATCTGTCCCATCTGACTTGTCACTGATAAGTGCGCATACCTCGGCATTGACAGCAGCTGGATTCTGCTCCCGACAACTCCTATGGAGCGCCACAACACAGGGGAATGTGAGATTGGGTGCTTTAGACTCTGGTATCCACTCCTCACCTGGATGGATGTCTGTAAGGCTACAAACCTGCATGATGTCATCCTCTGCCCTACCCAGACATGATTTGCCCCTTTCAAGTCTATTGCCCTTTTTTCTTGAAGAGCATGTGCTGCAGGGTGCTTCAGATCTGAGCTTATTTCGAGGTATGCATGAGCCCTCCAGATCTTGATCCTGTAATTCAAGGTAGGGAAGTCAAGAAGGTACCTCATTGCTACATAAGAGGTGTCTCCAGTGCACCCTAGAATAATGTGCATTGCTTAATTTTGCACCTTCTCAAGTCTTTCAATCTGAGTATGGCGACAGTGAGGATGGCAAGAGCATATTCGATGAGAGAAAGTACAAGTCCCTGGAACAGAAGCAGAAGCAGTCTCTGCTCAGTGTTAGCGGCGGCCATGACCCTCATTGCTGACAGGCCTAAGCGTGCTTTTGTTATGACATGGTCAACATGTTCTTTGAAGGATAGGCTGCGATCAAACCTCACTACAAGGTATGTCATCAGATTTGTTCTCGTCAAAATTTCCTCGCTACTTTCCACTGCTGGTAAGTCTGCCTTCACTATATGCGTGTTCAAGGAGAACCACGTTACTGAGGCCTTCGCAGGGTTGACATGAGCATTAGAATCTGCACACCAGGAGGTGCGATTTAGTTCACCAGGTTGATAAAGTTATCAAGACTACCTGGTTGATAAAATAAACTCAAGTTTCACACCTGATTGATAACACAAGTATCATCATACCTGGTTGACAGCCGTTTGACAGTGATCTGAGGCCCACAGTTCTTGCTCTGTATCATGGTTTTACTGATGGCTCTCACCATTGGCAGGGTGTAAACACGTGGAGACAGCAACGGACGCAGCTGGCCTTCACAGATACCAGGCACTTCTGATTCTCCAGCAGAAAAGTCCTGTCAGAAAGACCCAGAAAACAATCATTTTTCCATATTCTTTATTACAAAAACTCACAACAGGTAAAATAAGAAAAGTGAAGGTCCCTTTTCCACACCTTTAGGCGTATAGGGCATATAGGGCTAGACCTATATTTAAACAGACCAATCTGCACAAGATGGGTGATGTGGTCAGCATCACGCCGGCGGCCTTTACTTTCCAGGACGGCACCCGGTACCCACTCAAGGCCTGGTCGACCTGGAAGACAAGGTCACAACATGGTACCTCACTTTAAAAGTTGCTACTTGATGAAAAAAGCTTGCTGGTAGGGAAGAAGTAGAATAACAGCAAGAGGAAGAGGAAGAAAACGAAGAAGAAAATGAAGAATAAGAGGGAAAAAAAAAAGAAGTAGAAGATGCACATTAATATTGAGCTCTGGGAGCTAATTATTGTTGTTCCAGCAACATTTCTATTGTCTTCCTTAAATGAATATGTTTGTCACATTCAATGAATCTACATCAAGGGCCGCGTTAGCGCAGTCGTTAGGAGGCTCACTTTCAAATCCGGCGGCGACTCGCTGCAGCCACGGTCGGTGTTCGATACCAGGCGATTCCCGGGGTTCACCCAGCCTCTAGGAAACGGGTACCAGGGTTGACACTCTGGGGTAAATGGAGGAACGTTGCTGTAGCTACAGAGTTACGAGTGAACGGCGACACAGGTGGACAATTCTTATCAGCTGTCCGTACTGGTGGCAGAGCACTTATGGTTTATAACCGTGTGCAATGACGCTGGCTCACAACTCCCGACTTTACCTTTTACTGAATCTACATATATCAAGTTAAATTGCTTTCTCATGCTACACTGCTGAAGAAACAATGCACTCAGAGTCTATGAAATATGATGTGAGATGCACACAACCCGAGAAACATTGAACAGCATACAACAGGTGTTCTCATGGCTCCCTGAGAAACACTGCACTATGACTAGTGCCTATAAGGCACTCCACTTGAGCAACACTGAATAAGACCAGTTAGATAAACTGTGATGCTTGAGCAGCAACAACCTGACTTCTAGGCCAGGCTGTATCAGTGACACTTACAATAGAACTCACTTGTTTGGGGATCAAGTTGACTAATCTCCATGACGAGTAGATGAGATCACTAAAATGATGCAGCACAATCAGCCGGCCTCTGATTGCCTCTGGAGGTATGTTCTGCAGGGATGTATACTGTGGAGGGATGGTCTCTGGCAAGCCCAGCTGCAGCGGAGCTGTCACTCCTGGGACACGTTTGGGAGGTGGCGGGAAAGACCAGGCAGCACAGTGACTCCTTCCCGCAGAAATCTGTGTGACAATAATACAAGTGTCTCAGACATTTATTAGTATAAGTGATGGCAGTTCATGCAGCAGCATCATAAGGGTAGATAGCCCCAGTAATAAAATTGCATAGTATCAATAAGAAAAGCATAACAAGGTATACAAACAATGGAGCGACTTAGAGGTTATGATGTCCACCTCTGACTTATGCATGTGTAATTGGAGTGGCCTGTGTGGATTTTACAAATTAGCACTGAAGGATAGTGGATTGGATGTCTAGTATTTTTGGATAAGGGCAACAAAATTAGATGAAAGGTATGCAGGTTTTGCAAATGGAAATAAAAAAGGACAAACTAGACAGGCTTCTGCCTATACTAAAAGTAGAAGATTTACCCATACCCATAAAAAGAATATTCATAGAATTATGCTTCTTGTATACACATGTCTGAGTCCTTCATAATTTGTTCCAAAAAGTACTGGTGCTAGATTCCCTTTGTAGCAAGCCGACAGAGGGTAGTCTGGTAGTCTGGTCTGGTAGTCTAGTCTGGTAGTCTGGTAGTCTAGTCTGGTAGTCTGGTAGTCTAGTCTGGTAGTCTGGTAGTCTAGTCTGGTAGTCTAGTCTGGTAGTCTAGTCTAGTCTGGTAGTCTAGTCTGGTAGTCTGGTAGTCTAGTCTGGTAGTCTAGTCTGGTAGTCTGGTAGTCTGGTAGTCTTAGTTTCAGCTTCATAGCAAACGCGACAGAGGGATTATGCTGCATGGGCAACACATGTTCTATCTGATACTGGCTTCGTGCCATGGCAAGAAGGAACTTCATCCCAGGCCTCAATTGGTATATCCATGAGCTGTGATTTCCCCTTCCTTCCTTCCTACAGTACGATGGAACATTATCATCTGGACAGAGAGAAGGCTGCCAACATGTCTGAATCCTCATGGTGCCACAGTGTTCATGCACCGTGCTCACATTCTCTATGTGTGGCAAGACTGCAGGACTAATGAAAATATCTAGGTGCAACAAAAGCCAAAAAGAGTACAGCGGAAAGTAGCTGTTTCTTCAGAAGTAATTAACAGAAAACAGCACAAATTCTCTTTGCTGTGAACACAAATGAAAGACATTAAACATGAAACAGATGGCTCACAGTGCTTCACTGAGCACTTAACAGAGGTTTATACAGCAAAACCGTAGACTCCAGTCTAAGGAGAAATGATTACATTATTTTCAGGATTGAGTTTCTGGATAGTTTATCGATGGGGCAGTGACATGTACAATAACCAACATGTCAGTCCTTGGACTGGGTAATTCAACGAGTAATTTACTTATGTTGCTGACTGTCATACGACAAATAACAAAATGATTACTTGTTTGATATTCATGTCAGACAGCTGAGGAATGAGCGCTGGTTCTTTTACTGGAGAGCTGGTATGACCAAGTCCCAACTGTCCATCAGAGTTGACGCCCCATCCCCAGACCTGTCCAGTGACGGTCAGCACTAGCGTGTGTTCGGCTCCTGTGGTAATGTCATCAACAAAATGACCTGCCAGTGGCATCACTTTTTCAGGCTTGCAATGGCTTACACACTGTGTCTCTCCCTGGCCAATCATGCGATCTGAAAATAAACACAATGAGATACAGGAAATATCAGACATAATTCTTTTTTTCAACTGTCAGGGTTAAAAAACACCAACAGAAGAGGAGCTGGAAAAACAGAACAACTAGAAGAAAAATCTCATTAACATCTTGTCACAGAAAGACTATTATTTGGATAAATTTGTTTTCTTATTTCTTGTGTGGGTTTCTGGGCTCCACTGCTGTGTGGGGAGGGGGGAGGGGAACAGATCCACTGCATCCCAAACAAGCATGTCATAAAAGATGACTAATTAGGGATGTTTTTTTTTTAAATCAGAGAGCATCTGCTTGGTCAAGGAACCAACATCATGCATACAAATAAGCCAGTTATGTAAAATGGATGTGCATGCAAAACTTCAGTTTTGGAATAAGACATAAGTCCAGAAGTGGACAAACAACCAGAATTTTCTGCCAGAATTTACAGCCAGTGAATGTGAAGAAGACAAAATGTTCTACTGAAAGCATATTGCAGGCTTATTTACAGCTGTGTGCGCACAATCTGGAAGTGACACATGAAGTTTGCACTGTTTGAATCCCAACAACACACATCAATGTGAGAAACACGACTAATGTTAAGCTGATTCCAGGCAAAATCATGGGTACACAAGAAAATAGACAAATATGGTTCAAAGAAAAAGAATGCAAATAGCTGCACTGGTACTCACAGGAGTAGGAGAGACAAAGTTAAACATCAAGATCAATTTAATGATATAGATCAAACTACTGCAGTTCACCCCTCTTTCTGCCCTCCTGGTTTATACAGAATGCATCTATCAAGTCTGATAATGATTTGTTCAACCCTTGAAAATGAGATTGTAGAGTTAAGCAAGTTTGATGTGTGTATGAGAGTACAGTGCTGATAGTGTTCTGGTTGGTTTTTCTATAAGTACATGTCTGATTGTGAGAACAACACTGATTGTGAGAACAACTCTGATTGTGAGAACAACACTGATTGTGAGAACAACTCTGATTGTGAGAACAACACTGATTGTGAGAACAACACTGATTGTGAGAATATGCAGTTTGTTTTTAACTGTACATATCTCATTTTGAGGACATTTGATTTGTTTCTATCCATACATATCTGACTGAGGATTTCTGATTTGTTTCCATCAGTACATATCTAACTATGAGGATATGTGATTTCTTTCTATCCATACATATCTGATTGTGATAATATGTGATTTTTTTCTATCTATACATATCTGATTGTGAGATTATTTGATTTATTTCTATCCATACATATCTGATTGTGAGAATATGTAATTTATTTCTATCCAAAAAATATCTTATTGTGAATATATGTGATTTATTTCTATCCACACATATCTGATTGTGTGGATATATGATTTGCTTCTGTTTGTATATATTTGATTGTGAAACTATGTGATTTGTTTTTATCTGTACATATATGATTGCAAGTATATGAGATTTGTTTTATCATTTGCTTAAAAAAAATAAACTAGAATAACTATGTGCACAGAAAAATTGCTGTGGCATTTGGAAATAAAAAAAAACACAAAAAAAAAACGCAGAGGCCAGATAGGCTTGCGTCAGGCTAAATTACAGAATTAGCAGCTCTCTGCACAAAAATATGTAAATCCTGCGTCTTTTTCTTCTCTTCTCCCAATTATTTCATTAAAGTGTTGTCAGATCGGGGAGGGAGGGGGGGAGTACTTTTTTTAATGAGCTGCAGAAATTGGTCTTCCAAAACATCTAAACTATTGCTATTAAATCTTCTTCCTCCTTGTTCACCGGCTGTAAGCTCCGGCGGAAAGTCCTGGTTGTTCATTCATTTGGACTGGCTTTGTGCCAGGGTTTCATCCATTTTACTGGCCATTTGTGTGCAGTTGGTTGTTTCTGTCCACTTGGGCAGATGCTCTTCGACTGAAGGAAGTCCAAAATTAGCTGAATCCTACTACATGCTTGTTGGGGAGGCAGTGAATTTATTCTTGTTTTCTCCCCAATTGGGTGCTCTTTAATGAACCATATGACTGGTTTGATTTCTTCTTTTTCTTCTTCAGCATTCCGAGCCCTTGATGTTCATTGCTGCAGATATCACTCACCTCCATTCATCTCTATGGTTGGCCTTCTCTTTCCAGTTGGTGACACCTTTGTGTTTTCAGGTCTATCTGGATATTATCTCTCCATCATCTTCTCTGTCTGCCTCGTGGCCTATGACCATTTATCTCTCTTGTGTATACAGTTTTTACTTCTGGTTTGAATTCTTGTTTTCTAATTTCCTCATTTCTAATGCTGTCTCTTTTTGTGACTCCGACAACTCTTCTAAATAATCTTTTGTGATTATTAGTTGTAGTATGACTCCAGTTTTAACACTGGAAGCATATCACTGTATGATTCTGGTTTACCCATTCATCTTGGCCCTTGCTGATGCTAAAGAAAAAAAAAAACTTTCATTAAGCTTAGGATTAAGCTGACTGGACACTAGAAGAAACCAAGAAACATAGTGACAGACCTTGTCCCCATGTGTACACTTGTCCATCTGTGGTCAGTGCCACAGAGAACTGAGTCCCACAGGCAATCTTCTTGATGAGGAAGTCCTTCAGGAGCTCCACTTTGGTAGGCACAGATTTGGGAGAGCTGTTGCCTAGTCCCAGCTTCCCATAATCTCCATCGCCAAAAGCCCAGACAATTCCCCCGTCTGCTGACATGCACAGGGTGTGGTTTAGACCACAGGCCACCTAGACAAACACAGACATGTACACAAAGTTATATTATGTTATTATAAGCTGAGTTGAGTTGAGTCAAAAATTGACATCACAGCACTCGGGGCATTCTCATGTGTGCCCCATTCTCATCTTCAGCAGCCAGCGAAGAGTTCCAGTACTGATGGTACCAGTCACAATCTGGTTATATGTCCATCTTGCCTTTACTTTAAGTTTAGTGAGCCGGCCAGACCCTCTGGCTACACACAGGTGCCTCATTCTTTCCTGGCCATACTAATCTTGTTTCTCTACTGATTCCATTGCTTGTTCCCCCGAAGGACCATGACCACATTTCTCTTGTCATGTATCAATTCTCCACCCAATGGTGTAGACCCAGCCAATCTCTCTGTTCATTACCCACCATGTTTGGAGAAAATATCTAAAGTATGCTCACTACCCATGACCTTTCCAGTGAAGCTTGCCCCTCTGTTCGAAACATCCCTGTCTTCACCTTTCTCAGCATGCTTTCAGAGTCTGTTACAATTACAACATGTGTATGCATCTTGTTCTCTAGCCACCGGAGAGCTGCAGTTACCGCCTCCACCTCCATTCTCATGCTAGATGTTGTGGTGTCATATTGGCTTTCGCTACGAACCCACAGGCACTTCTCTTTCCTCTCAACAATGAACCATCTGTATGGATTATCAAATCACCTTTGCGTGAATTGTGGTGAATCAACTGTGGTTCGATATCAATGATAAGTTACTTTTGCATCTTTTGTCTATTTTGAAGCATTCAATTATTTATTTTCACTGTATCTAGAATACTGAAGTTTCAAAGTGCTACTATAGCCCGGAGTTGTGCCTGGAAAAGCTTCCATACCTTTAAGGAGAAACAGAAGTCCACAAAGTGCTGCTATAGCCCGAGTTGTGCCTGGATAAGCTCCCATACCTTTAAGGAGAAACAGAAGTCCACAAAGTGCTGCTATAGCCCGGAGTTGTGCCTGGATAAGCTCCCATACCTTTAAGGAGAAACAGAAGTCCACAAAGTGCTGCTATAGCCCGGAGTTGTGCCTGGATAAGCTCCCATACCTTTAAGGAGAAATAGAAGTCCACAAAGTGCTGCTATAGCCTGGAGTTGTGCCTGGATAAGCTCCCATACCTTTAAGGAGAAACAGAAGTCCACAAAGTGGATCCTTCAGGATTTGAAAACAGTGAGAAGATATGCTTCCCAAAAACATGGATGTGATTTTCTAGAAGACCAGGACTGGATCACCAAATTGGAGACATGGTTCTGAGCCCAGATAGGTAAAATGGTCTACTGTTTCCAGCTCTTCACTGTGAATGTGGAAACAAGGTCTATCATTAACACCTTGCAACATAACCTTTGTCTATTTTTTGCTGACTGTTAGTCCAAATTCCCAGCATGCATCATCAAGACAGACAGTAAATATTGCAGCTCCTCCTCTGAGTGAGTGGTTATTGTGGCATCATCTGCAAATAGCAACTCTCTGATAAGTACTTTTCTTATCCTGGACCTCGAAAGGTATGTTAAAAAAAAAGTGAGAAGTTTATTCCAAAGAGGGTAGCAGCAAGTACACACCTCTGCTTCACCTCATTTTTGATTACAAACTCCTTCGATGTTACACCTTAAAGTTGATTATACCTTTCATACCTGTGTGGAACGACTGAATAATGCTCAGTAGGTTAGGTGGACACCCAATCTTCTTCAGCGTGTTGAACAGACCTTTTCGACCAACCAAAATGCCTTCATGAGATCAATAAAAGCAACGAAAAGGTGAATATGCAGAGAAAATGCATAAGTACAGAAGGACTACAATTCATACTATATGTCAGGTATGTGTCTTCACTCTTTTACACTAAAGTTAAAAACCCTTCTGACCACCCTTTGTACAACAATCACCAAGAACACAATCCTACCATTCCAATCTGAAAGGCTTCTAAAGCCATCACCCTCTCTGGAACTTTCTTGTTCGCTGTAGAGCCGTGCCCCAGTCGACCGTAGTCACCGTTGCCGAAGGTGAAGAGCTTGCCATCAGCCGTGACTACAGCACTGTGCTTGAATCCACAGGACACCTACAAACATAAAGTAGTCACAAATGTGACACAAAATAATGGTTCCTTTACATACACACTGGTAAAAGAAAAAAGAAATGGATGACAAGTAAAAGAAAAAAAAAAGCATTTTAAGGAAGAATATAAGTAGTAGTAGTAAAGGTTTCAAATGCACTGCAAAGAGGTTCATCCCATATTCGTTCGATTCCTGTGCCAGTGAAATCCAAATGAAATCCTGTCTGCTTTAAAAAGTGGTTAAACTATTTAACTTGGCAAAATCCAGAAACATGCACAAGCAACAAGACAGTTGCTAGAAGTGAAAACAGATATAATCATCACAGGAACTGTGATGAAAGCAGTCAGCCACAATTACAGTAAGTCAGCTGTACAAACATAATATTAACGCATAAGCCACTTCATGCTAATGGCACATTGGGCATATGGTGCTAGACCCACATTTATATGGACCAATGGGTACTGGGTGGGTGATGGTAAAGTGAAAAGATAAAGTCCAGAGGATCGACTTCAAAGCACTGGGTTTTATCCCAAATGGCTCATTTTCTCTCTCAGTCACCTGCCAAGAGTGTAGAACAAAGCACAAACTCTGTAACTCAGATGACAATCTCGAGGGATATCCATAAAAATTGTACTTGCAAACCAAACAAGACAGCAGTGAAATAAACCTATGACCTTTACAGCGCGAGGTAAATGGCCTTACCACTTCAGCATGGGGACCTAATGATTGATGATGTGGTGAACATCATGCTAGTCACTCTGACTTACCAGGACATTATGTGAGACCCAACCTGGCAACCCAGGCTGGCAGTCAAAGTAATTATACAAACATCTGCTAGTCATTGGTGAAAACAGTGCACCCCTGAGCACACTGCAAACCCACCCTAGCAGTAATTATACAAACATCTGCTAGTCATTGGTGAAAACAGTGCATCCCTGAGCACACTGCAAACCCACCCTAGCAGTAATTATACAAACATCTGCTAGTCATTGGTGAAAACAGTGCATCCCTGAGCACACTGCAAACCAACCCCAGCAGTAATTATACAAATATCTGCTAGTCATTGATGAAAACAGTGCATTCCTGAGCACACTGCAAACCAAACCCAGCAGTAATTATACAAACATCTGCTAGTCATTGGTGAAAACAGTGCATCCCTGAGCACACTGCAAACCAACCCCAGCAGTAATTATACAAATATCTGCTAGTCATTGGTGAAAACAGTGCACCCCTGAGCACACTGCAAACCAACCCCAATACAAATATCTGCTAGTCATTGGTGAAAACAGTGCACCCCTGAGCACACTGCAAACCAACCCCAGCAGTAATTATACAAATATCTGCTAGTCATTGGTGAAAACAGTGCACCCCTGAGCACACTGCAAACCAACCCCAGCAGTAATTATACAAATATCTGCTAGTCATTGGTGAAAACAGTGCATACCTGAGCACACTGCAAACCAACCCCAGCAGTAATTATACAAACATCTGCTAGTCACTGGTGAAAACAGTGCATCCCTGAGCACACTGCAAACCAACCCCAGCAGTAATTATACAAACATCTGCTAGTCACTGGTGAAAACAGTGCATCCCTGAGTACACTGCAAACCAACCCCAGCAGTAATTATACAAACATCTGCTAGTCACCGGTGAAAACAGTGCATCCCTGAGCACACTGCAAACCAACCCAAGCAGTTGCTGGCTGTTTGGCTCTACAAGGCAATTTTACATTTAGTGTTTGCCAATGCTTCTGAATGGCTGGCTCTGAAGATCACTGTGAAAATCCATGCAAAGCAGTCTACAGCAAAATCGCCACCACTGGAATGGGTATCTCAGAATTACAAATCATGTTGATCACACATTAGCCACTTAGGCCGAATTCACAATGCAAAAGATCCACCAATATTTGCTAGAGAAGCTGAGCGTACACTACATCAGATGAATAAACTATGGCTCCAGCACCAGACATCACCAGACTTGAGTAAAATTCGGTCACATAACTTTGACGAGTCACAGAACAAAAACTGGTACTGGGAATAATGATGAGAAGAGTAAGCTAAGAAAAAATATAAAACTATAAAGTTCCCTGTCTGGGTTCCAGTGCTGCATTTGAAGGGGAACAGGAATAAATCAACTTCCCCCGCAACAAGGGCACTAATTGGGAGTCTGTTGAAATCAAATATTTGGGATCGAAAGACACAGATGTTTCAGCCCAGCTGTTATCCTCAACACAATGTCCCAATCTTCCTTTCAAGGACAAATGCAGAAACAATAAAAGTTGACAAATAGCAATATACAGATAAAAAGGGTGTAGACAATACAGACAATACCATACACATTCTCATGACATTGCTAGACAATACCATACACATTCTCATGACATTGCTAGGATGAGCTGTCAAAGAAAAACAAATATGTAATGAAACTACACAGACAAAAGTATTTTAGTGTGAAACATGAGAAACAATGAAAACACTAGCAAAGACTTGTAAATATTAAAGGATATGAACAAAGAAGACACAAACAATAGACTGCACAATTTATTGCCTGGCATATTTCGCTGTATCTCGTTAGGTGCATACTACAGTAACAATTGATTAAAATTAAGCAAATAGCTGAATCCTAAAATGAATAATAAATTATGTGCTAATCTACAGTGAACGTGGGCTAAAGTTACCCACTAATGTCACATGAACATTACATGGTGAGGCACATTAGTGCAACTTTCATGGTGCAACTCTTGTACTGTTGTCCCAAAACCCAGAAAAGTTATTTAAAAAAAAAATAAAACAAAAAAAAACATCTCTAGGAATCAAAACACAGTAATACAAGCTTAAGCAACTGTTAAACTCAATCACTAATCCCTTAACCACAGAACCGCACCAAATAAATAAGAGGAAAATCTGACAACAGGACCACTAGAATGCTGACACCTACCTGTATTACATCTTCTCC